TTTCCGCCAAGAGATGGGGACAACATACATGTCCATTAAACTGTGGATGGGTAGCAGTGTGATCTAGCCATACAACAGAGCATTACTCAGCCATGAGAGGGATGAGATAGGCCGCAGTATAGATGAACCTTGAAAGCAGTGTGCTAAGTAAAAAAGTCAGTCTCATATGACCACATGTTACATGTTTTATGTGAAGGGTACACAATAGGAAAATCATACAGACATATAATAGATTAGACTGGAGACATGGAGGGAAATTAAGGGGTATGGAATGATAGCTGAAGACATGGGGTTTCTTTTTAAAGCGATGAAAATGTTTTAAAGTTGGCTGTCATGTCTGTGAATATAACTAAGAACTGTTGAACTGTATACCATAAATGAGTGAAATGTATACCAAGAAAATTATATCTCAACTTAAAATTTTTAAGTGGAACTTTGACACCTAGCATAGACTGAGGAACTCAATAAATTCCCTCACCAAAGCAAGGACAACACTGTACAAAATTGTCAAAATAACAATTTTATAGCTCTGACCAGCAGTGTACAACAAACTAGTAAAAATCATGAAAAAAATCACTGAAGTCCATATAAGAATAGCAGGAGTCTGGCATTCTTTTGGTTTTGGTGGGATTGGGGTTTGAACTCAGTGCTTCACACTTGAGTCTGGCATTCTTTCCTGGGGCTGATCCCATCCTCCTCCTCTGCTCTAGCTCAGATAGCATGGTAGCCCCACCAGCACAGGACAAGCTGGGAAGTGAGGCTCGCTTGATTTGGAGAGGTGCGCAGTAAAACCTCACAGCCAGTAGTTAACAGTCATGCTCTCAGAGCCATATGTGCGGTACTTTGTTCCAGCAGCCTTAGAAAAGTAATAGTTTTAATCTGAAGTGTCTGTGATGAGTTAATAAGTGCATTTTCATCCCTATCAGAATGACTGAAAAAAACTAACTCAAGAAACAAGAATTCTTTCAAGGGAGAAGGAATTCAAATGATGTACTAAAAAAAAAAACCAAAAACTATCATCAAAATACAAAATATTTCAGTAAAGGAGAAACAGGAGAACAAAAACAAATACATAAATAGAAAACAAAATGACAGACATAAATCCAACCTATATCAATGATTGCATTCAATGTGAATAAATTAAACACTCCAATCAAAAAACCAGATTTTCAGACTAGATTTTAAAAAGCACACACACACAAACAGGGCAACCTGTTTGGGACTCCTCCCTGTCTCACATGGGGTTTTGTCCTTTTTCTTAATAAACTTCTTACCTAAAAAAAAAAAAAAAGAAAAGAAAAAAACACAAGTCCCCAGTGTATGCCTTTTATAAGAGACACACTTTTGATTCAAATGCACATGTAAGTTTATTGGAGAGGATATACCATAGTACTAGAAACCGTAAGAGAGTGCAAATGCCTATAACCAACACCTGACAAAATACACTTTCGAAAAGAAAGATTTTCTCAAGAGCTAGAGGATATTGCATAGTGATAAAGGAATTCGTTCATTGGGAAAATATAAAAATTACAAATGTACAGTGGTAAAGTTAGAGAGTTGGACAGTTGTTGGTCGGAGGGAAAAAAGGCACATGAGAGATGCAGAAACAGAGTAGCTGAGGCCAAGGTTGCCACACTTGGATCCAGACTCACCCCCAGTGCTGTGTAGCTTGGCCCAGATCTTGGTTAGAGTTCTACTTTGCCAGACCCAGAGCTCAGTGGTATTTCTCCCCATGGCATCCCCCACTCCCTAGCTCACCCAAGGGTTCCCAGGAACGATCAGTCAGACTTCCTTCCACTAACACCCACTCTCTCTCCAATCAGGCAAAAACAGTATGGGCCAGGCTCCTTTGCTGTTACCTGTGGCCAAATGAACAAATGGTCTGGGAAGGGACAGACCTTCCCAGGCCTCTTTGACTTGAATGTGACATGTGGGAAGCCATCTTGAACCATGTGTTTAACGGACATATCCAAGGATTGTGGCACCAAAAGACAGAGAGTTCTGAGACTACCACCCTCACTTGGACTCCTCTGCACACTTTCTACGTAAGAAAGAAAGAAACCTCGCTTCAGTCCTTGCTTAAAAAAATAAATGTACACACATCTTCCAGAAACCTGAGATGCATGAAGCAAACCTGATTGAATTGAGAGGAGAAATGGAAACCCAACAGAGTCAATTGGAGCCTTCAACATCCCTTCTCAAAATTAGCAGAACAGCTAGACAGAAAATCAACAAAATATAGAAGACAACTTTATCTGATATTTATACAGTGCTCTACCCAACAAGAGCCCAGTGCACATTCTTTCCCAGCATGTGTGAGACATAGTCCAGGATAAATCCCATTGAAGACGATGAAACAAATCTCAGTACATTTGAAATATTGACATCATAGTAGTTCTCCAACCACATGGGGAATGGAATTAAATTAGGAGTCAACTAAAGGAAAATAATAGAACCCCCAGATACCTGAATATTAAATAATAGACTTCTAAATAACCCATGGATCAAAGAAGAAGTCAAAAGGAAATTAGAAAATGTCTTGAACTAAAGGACCATAGAGCTGGAACATGGGATGTAGCTAAGGAAGATCCTAGAGAGAAATTTATAGCTTTAAATACTTTTAATAGAAAAGAAGATATGTCTTAAATCAATAACTTAAAATTTACCTTAAGAATCTAGGAAAAAATAACCCAGGAGTAGAAAAAGCAAACTATACCTCAAGCAAACAGAAGGAAGAAAATAATAAAGACTAGAGTGGAAACCAATGACATTGACAGCAGAACAGAAAATAAGAACAAAATTGATAAGCTTCTACTCAGGTCAACAAAACAAAAAGAGCCAGAAATTGCCAAAATCAGGAAGGGGGGCTTCATTCCCGAGCAGGGCCAAGACTAAAATGAGACAAACAAGGGACTTACATGCAGAATTCAGGGTCATGGGATGCAGTTAGCACTTCCTTCAATTCTGAACCCTGGACCCCTCACCTACCTCATCCAAGAGTTGCAGGGTTACAGTACAGTGCCACAAACAACTTGAGGCCACCAAAGTCCAAGAAAGACCCAAATGTGAGAAGTGACTTGATAAGACCTGGCAGGCTGGAATAATTACAACTGAATGAATAATTAAATATCTTATCACAAAGTAATGCTCAGCCCCAGATGACTTCATCAGCAAAACTTAGCAAATATTTAAAGATGAAATGACACCAAATCCTTCACAAACTCTTACATAAAATACAGGAGCACACACTTCCTAACTCATTCCATGAGGCTAGCATTACTCTGATATCAAAACCAAATAAAATATATCACAAGAAAATTCAAACCAACATCCCTCATGAAAATGGTTACAAAATTCTTAACAAAACATTGCAAGCTGTATCCAGCATCATATAGTAAGGACTAACACCATGACCAAGTGGGATTTATATCAGGATCACAAAATTGGTTTAACATTCAAAATAAATCACCAGGCATGTTGGTACACACCTGTAATTCCAGCACTCGGGAGGTTGAAGTAGGAGGCTCTCAAGCTCAAGACCAGACTGGACTACACAGGGAGATTTTGTCCTGAAAAACAACAATGAAAAAGACAACTCGATTTCCTGCTAAATGCCAGCCAGCTGGGAAACTGTCCCTACCCACTTCTGGCTTTTTCTTTATGAAATTATTTGGACAATTGTCGCACAAAATGTATCATTGTCCTTGCACCACCTCTCCTTCTTGCTCTGTGCCAGGTTCTTTATATTTTTCCCTTTTGTTTTTTATCTCCATTCATTTCTCTCCAACCCATAGGTATCCATCCTCGCCTATTTAATGCATGACTTTGGATTTTGCGTTTACTCCTTTATTTATGGTCACTTGCATCCCTGAAAAATATCCAGTATTGTGGTTTTGTGAGGATTTTTGCATTTTGTTTGTTTTGTTGTTTTGTTTCTGTGGTACTGGTTATGTTCCCAGGGCCTCTCCCACACTAGGCAAGCTCCACCATTTGAGCCACACCCTCCCAACCCTTTTGTTTTTGAGACAGGGTCTTGAGCTAACTTTCCTCAGTCTGACCTTGAACTTGAGATCCTCCTACTTCTGCCTCTGGAGTAGCTGGGATCACCCTGTGAATCTCTTTAGGTTTTCTGAGTTTCTGAGTACATCTAAAGACTTGTATTCAAGATCGTTTTTCTGTATCGTTTCAGTTTACTTAAATACACTGTGTTCATTCCTACTAGAAGCTCGGTTTCATGTTGTATGTATATCCTATTTTATGTATTCCCCCATTGATGGATATTGGAGTGTTTCTCTCTCTCTCTCTCTCTCTCTCTCTCTCTCTCTCTCTCTCTCTCTCTCTCTCTCACACACACACACACACACACACACACACACACACATCTTGCTATCTCATTGAGGTTGGCCTGGAACTCGTGATTCTCAGGGATTACAGACGTGTATCACCACACCCTGCTAAAACAAGCCTAGTGTATTTGTTCGTTCTACACTGGGAGTTGAACCCAGGTCCTTATGCTTGCTCTACCACTTGAGCTATGTATGTCCCCAGACACCTTTAAGAGAAATTTCAACATGTTCTCCACAGGGGTCAATCACATTTTTGTTTGGATAGATTACATTTTCGTTGGCATTGTACTATCTTACTTTCTACTGCATATCAAATGCTCACAAAAGGGACAATTGCCCATTTTCACAGACGATTCTTATAGGGCTCCTATTCTGCTGGTTTGTTGGTGCTCTCGGGTTTTCCGTGTGGACGCCTACTTGCTCTGCTCTCAGGTGACTGTGACCTAGGAAGCGACAATCTGGGCCGGGACCCCTACGATGCACCTGTGGCAGCGTGGGATGGAGCAGGTGCGGGCTGGGGCAGCAGGAGCACCCGCCTCAGCGCGCGGCCCAGCCAATGGCAGCGCGGCTTGGCGGAGCCCGGCCAATCGGACGGCTCCTCGTGCGCGTAGCCCCGCCCCCGGGAAAGTGAGCGTCTGCTCGGGAAAAGTTCCGCGCGACCTGGCCGGGCGGTGATCCCCGCGGCCTAGGGACGGAGTGCGGCGTCCCGCGGCGGTCCCTCGCCCATGGCGGTGGCCGAGCTGTACACGCAGGTAGTGGGGTCGCCGCGAGGGAGGGAATCCGACCCCGCGCCACGCTGACGGTATCTGGCGCGCGGCCCACACCTGTGCACCTGGCGCGGGGCGGTGGGGGGCGGGGGGACCGCGGTCACCGGCCACCGTCGTCCTCCTGCCAGGGTCTGGCGCGCTCCGGGACCTGCGCGCGGGAGCTCAGGTCCCCGGGAGGATGGAGGCCCAGGTTGGGGGTCGGTGCCTCCCGCGCCCCCATCTCCCGAAGGGGAGCACCAGGGCCCCTTCCTCCACGGCCACCTGCGGACCCAAGCGTCCGGCCACCACGGGTCACCGCGAGAACGAGCGCCTCCCATCTGACTGGTCCTCGAGCCCCTGGAAATCTCGGCGCAGAGGTTGGCGAGGAGTTGGGGTGCTCTCTAGAATGCGGGGTCTCGGAAGCGCCGCGTCCTGTGCGTTTAAGTGCGTGCGATGGGCCGTGCACCCTAAAGCCCGTGTGGCTTTTCGGTTTATAAAGCGCCTTTGTCGCCCTGGCTCTGGAAGCGCTCCAGGGCATTCCTCTGAAACCTTCCTGCAGCTGGGGAGCGCCACCCTCACCCAGGAGGGCCGCACCTCGCCCGGTAGGATTTGGATACTGTTTGTCAAAGTGTTGGCTCTTTGGGGGCAATATATTTTGCACAGCCATAAAGCCCATCCTCCACCCCAGAGGGGAAACTTAGACTCCTCCAAATTCAGATGGGTGAGACCAGAATCCATTTTCCTTGAAAAAGGCACTTTTGGTGTAGACCCACAGGAAAAAAAATCATTGCGAAACTGTCTTTCAAGGGCTTAAGCAAACTTTCTTCTACTTCAGCTAACTTTAACTACAGAGGGGAAACAGGAATTTCCCCTCTTAATGTGTTTAAACCACTAAGCAGAGTGGTTCATTCTGCTCTAGAGTATTTTTACCACTGAGAATGTGACCAGAGCTGCTCATGTCTTCAGTTACTGGAGGTGAAAGAACATTCTTGAACAAAGCTAGGATTGGGCAGGGTGGGACATTATCTGTAATCCCAACTCCTTGGGAGGTGGAGATAAGAGGATCCTTTCTGAAGTTGGCCTGAGCAAAAGTTAGCCAGACCCTAGCTGAAAAACAAACAAGCGAAAAGGCTACGGACATGTCCAAAGTGGTAGTCTCCTCTTGTCCCCTGGTCTAGCAAACTCCAGTCCTCCCCCCTCACACAAGCTATCCTTAGGAGATATCTTTGATGAACAGATAAAATGGTTGATGATTAACTTATTTTAAATAACAGCTTTTCCTGAAGCAAAAATACACAGGTATGAGCACCTAAATGCCTACTGGGAGCCAGGCACAACATAAGAAAGTTGATATGGAAGACTAACATAGAGCTCCAATGGAAGACTGAGAATCCCAAAGACAGAGGGGTCTTGATGGCTGTCCCTTTTTTGCTTTAGTTATTTATCAGATAGGGTCTTATATCAATCTTGGCCTGCAATTCTCCTACTTATGTCTCCTGCATAGCTGGGATTGAAGGAGTGCACCACCACACCCAACTGTTTTGTTGAGATAGTCTCTAACTTTTTGCCTGGGCTGGCCTCAAACAGAAATCCTCTCATCTCCACCTCTCAAGCAGCTGAAAAGAGTTTTTTCTTGAACAAGATCTGGACCCTCTCCCTTGTTTCCCTATCACCCCTCCTCCTCACAGTCTAACTGACTGCCTAAGCTGCCAGCATACAGGCTCATCCTAAATCTGAGTTTGTGACTGGCTGCCCTTGGCCACATTTAGCCACCCACAGTGCTGTTTCCCTGCACAAAGTCACACAGTGTTTTGTAACAACCTGAAATCCATTGCTGCACCCAGAGGCCTAAGTGACCCTGCAGCAGGATGACAGGTGGGCTGTCCTTTATGGGATTCCCCACCCACTCCATGGTCTCCCCAATCACCCACTGCTACCTGCCTGGCCTGTCTCATCTCCCATTAGCCCTTTGAAGACAGGTGTGCTATCCCTTACCACCGCCCCCCCCAACCCTGCTCCCCGGCCCCATAAAATATGCAGCAGTCTCTGTGCATGGAAGCTGTCCTTGGGGGAGCTTAGAAAGAGTTTTAAAACTAAATAAAAGAGAGTCTTGCCTCTTGGGTTTCCAATTCGTGGGAGTGAGAAACTTCAAGTGACTGCCTGGGCTGGGGCCTAGAGGGCCTGAGGTGCCTGGGGGGACAGAGGTGGGAGGAGGAGGGTCTCCCTGTCAAAGGCTGGCTCAGGGCTTCACACCCAGGGCTGGGCTTTGAGTGGGTATGGCAGGGTCAAGGTGGCTATTTCAGGAAGTCAGTAGGGTGGTGGCTTTGTGACTTCATGGGATCAGATAGCTCAATGGTCAGGAAGGTAGGGCCACAGTCCTGGCCAGGGAAGGGGAGGCCTGTGAGAGGGACTCACTGCCTGGGGTGACTTTGAGGATAGACAGAGTGTGATGGACAGCAGGTACAAGGTCAACAGCAGGGACCTCAGGGAAGGAGGAAGTCCTCAGACAGGTCTCCCGCAGCTGGGGCCTTGAAGTGGGGAGGGGTTGGGAGGAGGGGAAGAGGTCGAGATGCCATAGTCCAGAGGGCTGGAAGTCCTCTGTCCAAGTGAGGCCCCTGAAGATGAGGAGAAGAGGGCTGAGGTCAGGACTCTGGGTCGTGTATATTCCAGAAGCCATCCCAGGGGGCCAGGAGAGCTGGCACAGGAACCACAGGGAGAGGCGTGGGAGAGCCATGGTGACCACCAGTGGAGGTTAAAGTGACCCATCTCTGCAAAAGCGACTTGCCAGTGTGCCTTAGATGTGTTCAGAGCAGCTGGAGCAGGACAAAAGTCTCCAACCAGAGCCAGGCTGGCCGCAGCCGACCTGAGGCCCTCTGGAGGCTCTGGTCACTTTACACTCACCTCCAGCCACGACTCCTGCGACTGCAGACCTGTGGCTGCTCCCTGCTCCCATATCTCTCCCATCCATCCTGTACCCGCCACCTGCCGCATGGCCTGTCAACATTGCCTCAGCCTCAGTGCTATGTCTGTGCCACTGTCCCCAGGAACAGCAAAGGCGGCAAGTGCTCTGCAAGTGAAGGCATGCATGGGTGAAAAGCTCTTGCTGACGTCCATGGTGCTCATTTTTATCTTGCAATCTTGATAGAATTTCCTACTTCTTACTGCTTAGAACTTTTATTTATTGATTTATTTAGCAGTGCTGGGGTTTGAACTCAGGGCTTTATACTTGCTAGGCAGGAGCTCTACCATCTGAGCCACATCCCCAGACCAGAACTTTTTCAGTATTAAGTTATTTTCATTGTTCATTTTTTGGTGTTTTGAGACAAGGTCTCACTATGTAGCCCAGGCTGGTCTCAAACTCTTGATCTTCCTGCCTCAGTCTCCCAAGTGCTTGGATTATAGGTGTGTATCACCGCACCCATCTTCATCCTCAGAACTCTTTGTGCCTTCTCTCACTTAATCAAATAACCAACTCTGTGTTAGAAGTCATTATCCTGGTTTTACAAATGGCTCAAGTCAATAAGGGTGTCTAAGGTTACACAGAAGTGAGGGAGCCAGGCTTCAAAGCCTGAGTTCTCAATCCCTCTCCCCACCTGCACCTGGCCTCCACGTCCTTTATCACTTCCCTCCTCTTCAAGAGATCTCACCTTTTCCCCCACACAGAGGACTCCTGGGATGTCTGTCCACTTCCTAGCCACCTCCTGCACCTGCCAATTTGTCATATTATTCCTCCTACTAACTAAAATGGAACCACCCACAATGTCCAGCAAGAGAGGCAGAGATAAAGGAAGTCCAGAACACCAGGTGGTAGAATAGTCGGAAGCAGTTAAAAGTGCTACCGTGGTGGGAGGGCTGAGAGGGCAGTGGAACTGTGGGCTCCAGCCCCCTGTACCGCCCCCAGTGCAGCCAGCTTGCTGTTAGCACTGTGCTTGTGTTGAGCAGAGCTGGCATGCGCTCTGCCCCCTGGGACACACTATGCATGCTGCCTTGGGTCCAGTCCTGGTTTTGCCCCTTACTAACCCTAAGACACTAGGCAACTTACCTAACCTCTCTGAGTTTCCACAGCTATAAAGTGGATTTAAAGCCAGGTGTGTAGTGCACATCTATAATCCCAGCTATTCAGGAGATGAAGGTAGGAGGATCATGGTCCAGGATAGCCCAGGCAAAAAGCACAAGATTCTATCTAAAAAATAATTAAAGCAAAAAGGGCTGGAGACAGGGCGCAAATGATAGACCAGCTGCCTTGCAAGGGTGAGGCCCTGAGTTCAAACCACAGTACCACCAAAATAAAATAAAATGGATTTAATAGTGCATTCCGGTTTTGAAGACACTATAAAGATTACAATAGCTATGTGCAGTGCTTAATAAAGGTAGGTTGTTTTATGTAGGTGCTGTTATCATGTAAGTAATTTTGGGTACCTAAGTCCTGAGCTTTATATTCATATCAAACTTTCCATATTGTTATTTATTGCCCCAAATTTCTGTAGCTTGTCAGAAACCTATTGGAATCTTGATCATCTTTAGCTAATTAGTCATGTCATCTGCTTACTTGATAGCACACGTATTCTGATTTTTTCATCTAAGGTATCGGTGGAAGTAATGGGCAGAGGAGAAGCAACTGAGCTCCATGGCAAGCCTCTAGACACTTTCTTTTTGAGGCAGGGTCTTGAACTCAGGATCCTCCTGCCTCTGCATCCTGAGTGCCGGGATTACAGGCATGAACCATCATACTCATTTTCTTTAGAGACCAAAAAAAGACCGTTCTTGCTCATTAATTAGGACTCACGTTATGACCACTTAGCCACAGATTCACTAATTACAATCATTCAGTTGTCCATTTTTCTTATTTATGGATGGGAAACTCATGAATATTTTCAAAGAAGTTCTGTTGAAGTCCAAATGTGCAAGGTCAAGACAAGTGTTCTTGACTAGAAGTTCAGAGTCTCCGTCTAAGGTCAAGGTTCATTTTAACGACTTTTCCATTTGACTGTTCGAAATACCTTGTC